AACTTAGAGATGTAACGGGACCCGCTGCCTGGCGGCTCGAAATGAGGAACCCTCGCAGGTGGAAACAAAGGGTGGCTGCGGCTATTCGCCCCCTGTTCGGCGTTAGCTCCCAATGAGGATATATATTATAGATATATGTATATAAGAATAGAGCTATATATGAATATATAATATATATACATAGAACGATATATCTATGTTTTTATATACATATCATAGTATACAAAAAGAAAACAGATAAATATGCGTATATGTATACATCATTTATATATATAACTTATATATAGTTATAGATAATAGATAGAGAGATGTAGATATATAGATATAACAATGTGCGTTTATATGTATTATACATATACAAACATTTTTATGTTTTTTAATTTTATATGAATACATACACACACCACCATATATATTACTCCACTGGCGACAGGCATGACGTGTATGTACGTGCCTATGGCCATTGTGGGAGTTACTTGTTTGATTGTATTTAAACAACATAGATGGCTACACTACACTATGTCCACCAATGAGCCAATACATTACTGCTTCCCGCCTCGTTACCCTTTTCTTTGATTTATGAAAATAGTTTTTTACGTTATCTATTTTGCTGTTACTGATTTTTATAACATTATAGTACTTATGATTTTTGTAATAAAATACACCATTGATATTCATAGCACTAGTAAAATATACGATTTTTTTCCCGCCATTCAGATCAGGTAAGGTCCCCAAGGTCTTACTAATTGACGCCTTTGTGGGCTAAGCACTAGCAAGTCATCTATGTGGCAGAGACCTTTCACAAAAAAATATAAAAATTGAGCAATTTCCCCATTTTTTAATTCATTTCCTGTCGTGCATTGGGTTAAATATAGATTTATCTGTGTATATATATGTGTGGTGCACGCACGCCACGCACGCGCGCGCACACACACACACACACATTCCAACACAAATACACACACGCTCGACACATAATATACAAAAAATATATATATTTGTGTGGTACAGTGGTAACGCGCGCGGCTTGTGGGGCGGAGGTCCGGAAGCGCACGGGTTCGATCCCGGCCACGGTCCGAGATTAGAAGTGCATCCACTCGGGGTAAACGGTCTCCACCTGCCAACTCCTGCCTGCACTTCACGGGGCAGGCCCCGTCCTAGCCCTTGGTCAAAAGTGAGTTCCGTGACGTTAAAAACCGAAATCACACACACACACACACACACACACATATATCTTATATATATATATAATATATTTTTTTTTTTTCTAACGCCATTCATTCTACTGTAGCCTCTCTCATCTACTATTGAGAGGTTATATGGCAGTTCACCCTTGCCTGATTTGGATGCCCATCCTATCAACCGCAGTTCGGCACGCTAACTTTGTGCCATGGCGGTGACATCCCGCTACGACACCTGCGGCTGACTTCATCAAGCGATAATGTCTTTTTTCTCGGGCTCGAGCCAGCAAGTCATAACCCGGGCATTTTAACGACCGTCGCGCCGGTCACTTGAACTCGGGACCACGAGATTCGGAGTCCAGGGCTCTAACCGCTGACCATTGTGGCAGTCTATATATATATATATATATAATATGTAAACATACACACGCCTACATCATACACACACACACCACACAAAAGCACCACTTACAATATATATATATATATATTTATACACACAACACAATATTTCTGTGTGCGTGTGTAGAATCAGTTAACTATTCACTTAAAATCCAATACATATAGGTATTTTGATTTGTCCTTAGACTTAACCTATTTTCATATATCTGAGGGTTTTAACCGGTAGTTTTAGTGGTGTTGCTATCGATTTTCCGCTAGCTATACAGAGATAGCTATCTTTCACTGCCTTTAACTTGTTTTCTATTTGCTGTATTATAGTTTATAATCTCCCTACGATCTTACAGGAATTAAGTTGCTGCTTCCTTTCAGCCAGTCGACCTCACATGCTGAACGTCACAATCAATCGTTTGTGTATCCTCCCCCCCGCCCTCTCTTATCTCGTTCTCTCTCTCTCCTCTCTCTCTGTTTCTGTCTCTCTTCCATCTCTCTCTCTCTCTCCTCTCTCTCCTCTCTCTCTCTCTCTCTCTCTCTCTCTCTATAGTATATATATATATATATATATAATATATATTATATATATATATATATATACATATAGCTACCTTTTTTCATTTTCATCTGTTTTAGTTTTCATCGTACGTATTTCTTCTGCATCAGTTTGCCTCTGTTGCTTTCATCATCACATTCTTTTTTCACTTTCTTATCCCTTTTTAGCAGCCCGTCCTATGATGATTTAAAATAGAATTTAAATTCTACGTTATTTTGCATAACAACTTACATCCGGATTATTACTAGCTGGTACAAGCTGGAAGGATGTTTTTTCCTTTATTTTGTTTTGTTTTTGTTTTCTTTCTAAACATTCTGGTTGCACATCTAGTTTTTTTCCTTCTACATACCTATTCTCCCGTTATATCATATATACGTTAACATAAATCAGGGAAAAAATGTATTGCAAATTAAAATTGTAATACTTTAACTCAAAACTTCAATGTGTAAATTAAAGAAAGTTTCCTACAACATTCAGAGAAAATTACAATGGGAAGCGAACAACTTACGGGAATATTCGGTCATACTATCGATAAATCTGTTATAACTTAATTTATAAATCTCAGTCAAACTTTATTACACACAATCCAAATCAGGCTAATGATGTCAGTTTTCCTAGTTTTTCTGATGGCTCCCGGCGAAGTGAATGAGTGTGTGTGTGTGTGTGGTGTGTGTGGGTGTGTGTGTGTGTGTGTCGTGTGTGTGTGTGTGTGTGTGTGTGGTGTGTGTGTGTGTGTATTTGTGTGTGTGTGTTGTGTGTGGTGTGTGTGTTGTGTGTGTGTGTGTGTGTGTGTGTGTTTGTAGCTTTAAACGTATAGCTATTTCATTCAGTTAATTTTGCATCTGCTACTGCGTGTATATTGAAACCTCTAACTCAGTGCAACCAACCACGTCTTGCTTATTTCCTCCGGATTCCTCAAAGGCGATGGCTTCAAGACCAGGTCAAAGATCATGCTGTGGGCGGTATTCTCACGGCGTTGGTCAGAGTGCGAGCGGGAGCGGACTGTTCCGATGGTATTCCACGGACGGTGCGTGAAGTCAGTGCGTGTATTCACTCCCTCCTCTGCTGTGGGTGCGCGGCAGTGAGGGGAGGGAGAGAGGAGGCAGTCAGGTAGGTTTCATGCGAAATCAGAGACTCTTACCATTATTCCTTAATTCATTGATATATTCTCGTCCACATCGTTAATCATGATTATCCTTCGTTATATCGTCATTATTTTTCTATTTTATTATTATCATCATCATCATCATCATCATCAGCATCATCAATCCTCATCATCATCATCATCATCATCATCATCATCATCCTATCATCATCATCTCATCATTATTTTTGTTGTTGTTGTTGTTCTGTTTATTATTCTTATTATTATTATTATTATTATTATTATTATTACTATTATTGTACTGTTAGTAGTAGTAGTATGAATATTATTATTATTATTAATTATACTATGATATTATCATTATTATTATATCATTATTTATTATTATCATATTATTATTATTTTATATTTTGTTTATGATTAAAATCATGATTTTTTATTATAATTACATTAGCAATTATAATGTAGTTATGAATTATGATTATAAATGTAAGTAATATTATCCTTATCATCATTACCATTACCTTCATGCATCATTATTAGTGAATATGATTGTGGATTATTTTCATAATTATACTTATGATTTGTGATCATAATATAATTACAATTATAATCATGGTTAGTATTATTATGTACTTGTCTTATTATCATAATCATCATTCCCTTGTTAGTGAGTCTACTAGTGATTTCATTTGATACTTTTAAACCAATCAAGCCTTTTACAGATGGTGTGGTGATCAGAATCAACGATGGATTGTCAATGGCCCCGGCAATTATAAGGAGCAGGTTTTAGGTAGGCTAGGTTCCTAAGAACGGCCTTAGATTATTAGATCTGAGGTTTAATGAGAGTCATTTATGAAACTCTCCATTTGGGTAAAAAGTTAGACCCTGTACCCTT